TATTTCTTTTTCGTTTATTAGTAATAGAAGAATTTAGATTTGAATGATATTGGAGAATGGTGTGAAATCCAGATTTTTCTAATGCGTCATTATAAATTGGAGCAGTCTTTTGGAATATTTTTTCGCTTGAAGAATTGGAAGATAACCTATGCCCAATTGAGATTGGTAATTGTTTTAAAATGCTTGGTGGATGGTTGGAATTAGCATGGATATAATTTAACGTACTATCAGGTTTATGGTAAAGTTGAAAAGTGTTGCTATTAAGATTAAATGTAACATCAAGGTAATTAACAATTTTCATATTAGATTGAATGGAAATACTGAGGTTGTTTTGTTTAAATATTTGAGTAAAATGCTTCTTAATTTTTTCCATTTTTGGACCGCTTGCGTTTTTAAATACGGCTAAGCCATCGTCTCTATATAATCCAAAATCAGTTTTATTATAAAATTGCGAAATCTGGAAAAGAAGAAAAATACCAACTAATTCGCACACCTCCGCTCCATCAAATGCACCCATGGTAACATCAAACAAACCACTTGATTTTTTAATCCAAACTTGGTCATTGGTAAATAATAAAGATTTACGTGCGTGGAGAATTAAAGATATATGATCAGCATCAATGGAAACGTATTGTTCTGCAAATTTTATGGAATCGATAAATAGCTTTTCATTAATAGAAGGGTAAAAGTCAACGATGTCGAAAATAAGGAGTTTATAAAAATGTTTGTCATTGATGTTTTTGAACCAATTTATTACACTTTGTGTACTATTCCACTGATTTAATCGCAAAATATTTCTAAGGTTGGTGTTAATACCTGATAAAATATGTTAACTTATTCTACCAACCTCATTTAACAAAAAAAGTGAATTGGTTTCTGCTTGTAGGCATTATATCAAAGTTAGATAGTAAAAAATTTTTACTATTTAACTTTGATTCCGGCAATTAGCAAATATCGGATCACGTACAATTGACGTCAGATGCCGTTGCAACGTTAAATTTGTATTTTTTATAACGGTTTTTATTTTTTACATGAATAATATGGCTGATGATTGCCAAATGGCATGAAACTTTTAGTTCCATCATAAAGTTGTATTTTTTTCATTTAAATTATTTTATTATAATTTGATCTATTTTTTAAAAAAAGATATTGATCACTCTTAAACAGACAAGTTATAATTTCCAGCAGTATACAACATTTATCAATATATATATATATATATATATATATATATATATATATATATATATATATATATATATATATATATATATATATATATATGTTTTTAATCTTCCAATAACTTTTTCCACAAGAATTCTAATTTTAGCAATTGAACTTGTTTTCTTAACTTCAAAAGGGGTCATTTGTGATGTTCCTCGCTGACCAGGTGGTACAGTAAAAAATAAATGACGAGCAGTGCATTCATAATGCAAGTTAACCCTTTGTCTACCATAAATAGAAAAAGGAGATAATAAATCAAGAAAACCACAATCCATAATTAAGGCTTTGTCGGTAATGTGACTGGTATAAACTTCTGATATAAACAATAAAAGAATTAGAAGCAACACCTATTAAAAACTTTAAAGTATTGTGGTGTTTATATTCAGGCTAAGTAACACTTTACAATTCAAAATTTTTTGGGGCTTGTATGAAAATTTCTGAACAGTTATTTTATTTTTTAAATCATAAAGGGTTTGTTGCATTTAACGTGCCAAGGTCTGGTACAAATATTAGATGCTTACAAACTTTTGCTAATGTTCTTATCCGAGAATGAAATATTTTGGAACATGTGCTAATAGAAATATTAAAAAAAACAACTAGCAAGATCTTTGTTAAATGATCCTAATCAAAGTTTCATTAAAGTCAGCAGAAACTCATCTTGTGAACATAATTTTCTTGCACGTCCTACTTTTTTAGTATTTCACTGACAGTTCTTTTAACAGAAACAGAATTAAATTGTTTTTTATCATAAGGGCTAATAAAGTCATGCAATTAATTAAGTAACTCTAAAGAACCAAGATTTGTATAGAACTTTACATTACTGTTTGATAGAAGTTTCTATATACAGATATAGGCTTAGTTAGTTGCATTATAATTTTGTTTTGAAGTTTAATATTTTCTGCTTTTAACTTCTTAATTTCTAAATAACAGTTGATAATCAAAGCATAGAGTGTTATAATTAAAAAGACCATTTGAGTCAAAATAATTGAAATTAATTAAATATTTTTTTCAGTATTTGATACAAACTGACTTTTAGATGCTAAAGTAACAAGATTGTCTGTCAATATTTCTGAAGAAAAAACAAGAAAAACTTTATTATGCAATACCAAAGATTTTAGTTAATGTTTGTTTGGATTTTAGTTTTAAAAGTAGAGTTCTTCAAACTGTTTTTTTTTAACATTTTAGCATTTATTTTATTAACTGCTGTAATCACAAATGCATTTTTACAAGTAGAGGCGGATAGAGTGGCTGTTTTTATTGAGAAATGAATCAGAAATTGTGTTGTTATTTCGTTTATTTATTGGTCGATTACAATTAGATGAAACAGAAGAAACAAGTTATTATTTTATTTAATGCGTTGTATGTAATAAAATATTACATCGGCCTCGAATATCACATCCCCCATAGAAAAAACGAAAACGAGATTGCGCTTTCAAGTCATTGCACTTAGAAGTGTATCAAATACGTCCGAAACATTAAATTATAAACAATATAATTAAAACGCAACGAGATTCATAAAAACGGTTTGCTACTAATATACTATAAATGAAGTTAGCATAAAATGGTAATATATTTTAATTTCTTATTTATAAAAATTTTGATCGTAATGTATTGTGTTACAATAGTATAGAAAAAGATTACACATGAGGGATATAATACTTTACGTAATAAAATTAACAATCGTTTGCAATATTTTAGAAGCCTGCATAGGGGGGGATGTGATATTTTAGGTAAGAATTCCAGATTCTTTTTGTGACATATACAGAAATAACAAGTGGTGGATGTTATATTCTATATACCAAATACTAATTGTTTAAAATACTATATAAATTACTTAGGGGGATGTAATATTTTAAAAGTAGACATCCGGGGGATGTTATATTTTAAAGTAAGAATTTCAGTTTCTTTTTATGACATATACAGTAAATAAACCGAGGGGATGTAATATTCTAGATATCAAATACTAATCGTTTGAAATATTGTATGAATTACTTAGGGGATGTAATATTTTAAATGTAAACATAGAGGGAATGTGATATTTTAAGTAAGATTTCAGTTTCTTTTTGTGGTTCATACAGAATTTACAAGTAATGAACCTTATACTTTTAACACTAAATACTAACAGTTTGAAATGTTGTATGAATTACTTAGGGGGATGTAATTTTTTAGAGATAAACATAGGGGGATGTGATATTTTAAGTAAGAATTAAAGTTTCTTTTTGTGACATATACAGTGAATAAACCAAAGATATGTGATATTCTAGATATTAATTACTAATTGTTTGAAATATTGTATGAATTACTTATTGGAATGTAATATTTTAAAGGTAAACATAGAGGGGATGTGATATTTTAAATAGCAAATATCATTTGTTTGAAATAATGTATGAATTACTTAGGGGGATTTAGTATTTTATAGGTAAACTTAAAGGGGATGTAATATTTTCAGTAAGAATTTAAGTTTCTTTTTGCGGTACATACAGAACTTACAAGTGATGAATGTAATATTGTAGGTACCAAGTACTAATCGTTTAAAATATTTTGTAACTTACTTAGGGAGATTTAATATTTTAAAGGTAAACATAGAGGGGATGCGATGTTTTAAGTAAGAATTCCAGTTTCTTTTTGTGACATATGCAGATATTCTACAGAGGAGATGTGATATTTTAAGTACGTTTTTAAATATTGTAGAAAAATACTTAGTGGGATCTATTATTTTTAAAGTACACATAGGGGGTGGGGGTTTTTTAATATTTTAAGTAAGAATTCTAGTTTCTTTTTATGATACAAACATAATTTACAAGTGATGGATGTGATATTCAAGATAGCAATTACTACTCATTTGAAAAATTTTATGAATTACTTAGGGGATGTAATATTTTAAAGGTATACATAGGGATGTAATATTGGGGAATATTTAAGAAGCCTGCATATGGAGATTTGGTATTTTAATTTAGAATTTTAGCTGTTATTTGCAAAATGTGCAGAGATTACCCGAACAGTCTTTTTTCATTTTTTTTTAAATTTAATTGAGCTAATGTATCTCATACGGTACCATCGATTTAAATGCATATATCACATTTGATCTAAAAATAAATATTTAATGACCATTTTTCTATTTGATTATTTAAAGTATTTTTTTCTATTTGAAATTTTTATTAAAAAATAATTAAAATATATTTTATTACTCATTTAATTTTTTTTTGATTTTTTCTAGTTTTTGGACCAATTTTACTTCCACAAATGCGACACAAACTATTCTGCCAACTCTTCTGATCTATTGATTTAATTTTTCATCATTTTTTTTTTGTCTTTTTTATAGATATCATTTAACATTGAAGCAGTATAAACAATTTCAGTTCTCTAAAGAATCTCACAAACCTCTTTTATCTCTCTTTCTGTATGCATTAACTTCTTTATATGGAAAAACTAATACTTCTCCATTTGTACAACTTTCAGCAAACTAAAATATGTAAGCTTATATATATATATATATATATATATATATATATATATATATATATATATATATATATATATATATATATATATATATATATTATATATATATATATATATATATATATATATATATATATATATATATATATATATATATATATATATATATAAGCTTACATATTTTAATATATATTTAGGATATATATATATATATTATGGCATGTGGTAATGTTAATATTTCTGAAATATTAACATATATTAAATATATTAACATATATTAAAACATATTATAAATATATAACATATATTAAATAACTTTTCTGAAACGCCATATCTTTGTTGTAAGTAACAACTATTGTATAATAGTAAAAAAATTATAAAAGATGTAAATACAAATTTTGGCATTGGAATATCTAATAATAATAATATCATACTTCCATTTCACTTCTTCTTTTTTGATGGAATTTGTCTGTTCTCCCATAGGGTCCATAGAGTGAATTGTTTTATTACCTGGTTTGATTATCTAAAACACAAGTGATTTTCAAAATCAGATTCAAAGTTAAGTTACCTGTAAAAAAATAGGGAATCTAACCTTTCACTAAAAGTTAAACTTTTTGTACTTAGAGAAATAAACTTTTTCAAAAAACAAATATACTATTTTACAAACTGCAAGCGTCCAATGAAATTTTTCCACCATACAGCATATTAGCATATCTTGTTTAAAGAGCCCTTTCTATGAAGATATATATATATATATATATATATATATATATATATATATATATATATATATATATATATATATATATATATATATATATATATATATATATATATATATATATATATATATATATACATATATATATCTGTGTGTGTGTGTGTGTGTGTGTGTGTGTGTGTGTATAAATAATTAAATTAATGAATCATTAATTTTTTTAGATAAAAGTTTTTGAATACCTTATGCCGTCTTCGTATTAAATCAGTTTTAGTTGGCAATCCATCCAGTGAGAGTAGCCCAGCTGGATACAGTACTTCGATTCAATTCTTCAAAGCAACAATAAATGGAATGGCATTCGATATATTGTTTTATATTTAGAATTAAAATTTTATTTAAATGAAGGCAAATTTAAAAAAAAAATTCAATAAGGGTTTTTTTGTACAAATATTTTATTTTGAAGTACATTAATTAATCATACTTTTTCTTTACTGTTTACTAATATTAACATTTATAGATAAATATTAACATTTTTGTCACTGAGACATTCGTTTAAAGTGTCTTGTAACGAATAATCGTATACCTTGCAGCCTCCTAAGACTTTTACAGGGTTTTTAATATGGATACATTTTATTATTCCGTGACCTATTTATGAAATGCAATTTAAGCATAATTTCATCAAAATTTAAGCATAAGCCTTTTATCTAATAAAATAACGACTATTACATTTATTGAAAATTACATGTTTTAAAACTCTTCACATATTTTTTCACCAGGTGGGATGTTTAAATTAATTATTTAAATAAGTTTAAATAAAAATCTTTATTTTATTCGTGCGCCACTGAATAATACATACCTTCTGTATCATCAACTATGTAGCTTTTTTTCGTATTTCCTATCTCTAGAATATTAAAATAAATAAAAACAAATTAAAATAAAACGCTAACAATTATATATGAATAGGTAAGTTTTAATACATACCTTCACTATCTTCAACTACAATGGTTTTTGTTGGCTTCTCTGCTTTCTCTAAAAAACAAGCGATACTTTAAATAAAATGCTAACATTTATAAATAAAAAAGTAATTTTTTAAATCCTACTTTTACCATCTTTTACTACAAAAACCATTTTTTGTATCTGCCACTTCTAAAAAAACAATACATTACAATAAAAAGGTAACGCTAACAAAATGTAAAAGTGATTTATTATTATATACCTTCACTGTCTTTAGCTGCAAAGATTTTTATAATTATCTGCCTCCTCTAGAAAATAAATTATAAGTAAAATAAAACGCTAACAATTACAAATGAATTAGTAAGTTTTTAATTCATACCTTCACTATCATTAACTTCAAAGCTTTTTCATGGTGTCTCTGCCTTCTCTTGAAAATAAACCATAAAATAAAATAATTATAAAATATATGTTTTAACTATAAATTAAAATAAGAAAACGAAAATTTTACCAGAGTATAAATCAAAAAACAATAAAAATTGTTTTTATATTAGTATTACCCGTAGAAAGTTAAACAAATATTAGGTTTGAAGAAAAAATAATATATTTTATAAATAGAATGAAAACTTTATTGAAGCAACAGATATACCAGTAACTTCTACAGAATAACAATATTTAAAAAAAAAAACATTTCTCTTTTCAGCGTTTTTTAAAGACGTTTAAAGACCTGTATTATGCGTAATAAAATTTAGACGCCTTTGAATAGCTAAGGGTTTCTGAGACAAGTGTCTGACAAAGATGTCTTTTAAACTAAAATAAGTGAACATAAACTCTCAACCTCAACTAATATGTTTAAAAATATGATGTACCTTCACTTTGTTTTAGCTCATTCTTTTTCTAGCGCTTATCTCTATTTAAACCTTTTAATTTTCTAAACTGATCAAAACGAGCTTCTTGATTCACAAAAAAGTCATGCCAAATATTGTGCGGCCGTGGCGCAGTGGTTAGATTGTATGCTTTATAAGCAGGAGATCCAGGTTCAAAACGAGCTTTGGACATATTTTGCGTCATGGTAAGGAAGAAGGCGTGAACTTGCTGGTTAAGTGCACTTCCGCTGTGCTTTGTGACAACACCGTTAGGACTTCTTGGGGTACTTAAATAACAAATTAAAAAAAATATATACATATTATAAATAAGGACAATCTCTGTGCAGGTTTTTTTGTTATATTTATTATGGCTACACATTGGTACTGGACTCGTTGAATAAAAATTTAATCAATCTTTATTATAACAATTGATGTAGTCAATTTTGTTCGCTAATTCAATCATTTAAACTAAGCCACCACGCTCTCGTCTTTTTTTCAAACTTGTTGAATTCAACGCTATAAATCTGTCATTATAGGGATGATTATTATTTGTTAGTGAAATCTTCTTCGAACAATCCTGCACTTTAGCATTTGTGTCATTAAGAAAATAGGAAGACCTAACAAAAGCAGAATACTCTTAGTGTGAAAAAATAATACTTGCTTAATAATATTTTTTTTCAAAATTTTTATTTTTACAAAAATGTTGTGTAAACATTTGATGGAATATATATATATATACATATATATATATATATATATATATATATATATATATATATATATATATATATATATATATATATATATATATATATATATATATATATATATATATATATATATATATATATGTATACATATATGTATATATATATATATATATATATATATATATATATATATATATATATATATATATATATATATATATATACATATATATATATATATATATATATATATATATATATATATATATATATATATATATATATATACAACAAACCGTTTATGTACTTTGTCTTTTCCATCTTTTACACTACATTATTCTTTATCATTTTAGTTCAGTATAATAATGGATGCTTCTAATACATGAAAAACATGATTTTATATTTTATTGTAATAAATATAAGTTAGTTTTTTAACTGTAACTTTTAAAAATTTGTATAATTTTAATAATTGTGAACTGGACTAAATATTATTAACTCGCCTCAACAGGCTCCATAATCGCATTATATTTCCATACCAAACCACCCAAACAAACGTTAATATTTAAAAATAGTTCTTTAAAAATATTCTTTTATTAAGAAAAGAAGCTTCTATCATTCAAAAAAAGTACCTGAAAAAGTTATAATTTTCCCGAAACCTTACGCCTAGATTCTATGTATATGTCACAAAAGGAAACTGAAATTCTTACTTAAAATATCGCATCCCTCTAATGTATACTTCTAAAATATTACATCCCCCTAAATAACTCATACAATAATTCAAACGATTAGTATTTGGTACCTAAAATATCACATCCATCACTAGTAAGTTCTGTATGCACCACAAAAAGAAACTTAAATTCTTACTTAAAATATCATAACCCCTCTATGTTTACCCTTAAAATATTACATCCCCTAAAGTAATTCATACAATATTTCAAACGATTAGTATTTAGTATCTAAAATATTACATCCTCTTGGTTTATTTGCTGTATATGTCACAAAAAGAAGCTGAAATTCTTACTGAAAATATTACATCCTCTCAAAGCTTACCTTTAAAATATTACATCCCCCAAAGTAATTCATACAATATTTTAAACAAATAATATTTGCTATTTAAAATATCACATCCCCTCTGTGTTTACCTTTAAAATATTACATCCCTCTAAGTAATTCATACAATATTTCAAACAATTAGTAATTGATATCTAGTATATCACATATCTTCGGTTTGTTCACTGTATATGTCACAAAAAGAAACTTTAATTCTTACTTAAAATATCACATCCTCCCTATGTTTATCTCTAAAATATTACATCCCCCTAAGTAATTCATACAACATTTCAAACTGTTAGTATCTAGTGTTTAAAATATATGATTCATCACTTGTAAATTCTGTATGTACCACAAAAAGAAACTGAAATTCTTACTTAAAGCATCATATTCCCTCTATGTTTACATTTAAAATATTACATCCCCCTAAGTAATTCATGCAATATTTCAAACGATTAGTATTTGATATCTAGAATATTACATCCCCTCGGTTTATTCACTGTATATGTCAGAAAAAGAAACTAAAATTCTTACTTTAAAATATAACATCGCCCGGATGTCTACTTCTAAAATATTACACCCCCTTAAGTAATTTGTAAAGTATTTTAAACAATTAGTATTTCGTATATAGAATATAACATCCACCACTTGTTATTTCTGTATATGTCACAAAGAGAAACTGGAATTCTTACTTAAAATATCACATCCCCCTTATGCAGGCTTCTAAAATATTGCAAACGATTGTTAGTTTTATTACGTAAAGTATTATATCCCTCATGTGTAATCTTTTTCTATACTATTGTAACACAATACATTACGATCAAAATTTTATAAATATGAAATTAAAATATATTACCATTTTATGCTAACTTCATTTATAGTATATTAGTAGCAAAACGTTTTTATGAATCTCGTTGCGTTTTAATTATATTGTTTATTATTGAATGTTTCGGACGTATTTGATACACTTCTAAGTGCAATGAATTGAAAGCGCAATCTCGTTTTCGTTTTTTCTATGGGGGTTGTGATATTTTAGGCCGATGTAATATTTTATTACATGTATCCCAATAGTTATGTAGGATATTTAAATTTTTCATGAATAAAATGTTCCGATCAAATTTTCCTGTAATTAGAAGCTTCCCATTTAAATTTGTCTGAATTTACCCAATTTATCAATTTTTTTCAAATAAATCGACGCTCTGGGTCTTTTTCTTCAGTAGGAAAAGGAATAAGTTTAAATGGTTTAGAACAGCAGCAATTAGGATCTTCTTTTAAACGTTTATGAATTTCACAAATAGCTTTTTTCCACTTTTTAAATTTGGTTGAGTGATTGGAACAACTAATGACAACACAAGAAAGTGATGTAGCCATATTAAGCAAATAATTAAACTAATATAAACAAAATCCAATGTTACTTCTTATGCTGTTTGTTTATTTTATTTATTCTATATCTACTTTTTTGTGTAAAATACGCACGACAGATTCAAGTTTCTTATTATTCCGGAATTTAAAAAATGTCGAATATCGTCTATTAATTTACGCGTAACTTATATTAAATTAGAAGTTGGACTTTGATCGCCTTTTGAGTGATACTTTTATCTGCTAACCATTTTTAGCATGCACTAAAAGTAGGTTGTGAAAATTGTTTAAAGTGCGGACCTGGAAAGTTATTTATACTTACGCGCAAACGGAAAACAATACAAAAACAACAAAAACCTACTTTTGGTGCATGCTAAAAATTTTTTACCAACTGTTTATGATCAGATAAGTATAAAAATGTTAATGATCAGATATAAAAATGGTCGGTATAAAAATGGTCGATATAAAAATGGTCGGTTTGGTAAAGACCCGTATTTTATGGGTCCGCTCAGCTAATTCTGAATAATGACATAACAGCTAAAAGTAATCTTCTATTTTTTAGAGAAAATATAATACTTAATCTAGCAGCCAACATAATCACAGTTGCCATTAACTAAAATTATTTTTCAGTCATAGCTCCGATTAAGTTCAGTGGTCCTCAAATCTTGGGAGCTTATTTTGAAATATAACAGCAATAACAACATTAATAAAACATAACAGCAATAGTAACATGTAATTCTTTAATGTGCTAACTTTATTAGATAAATTTACATATATTTTTGAACTTGACATCATCATTTTTTAGGAACTGAATGTTTTAGCACATGTACTGATGGATATGTTTATTGGTGGGGTATTTGTAAACTGGCTGAACCTGCAGAAATGCTTTATTTGGTTAAAAATTCAAAAGAAAATAAATTAATGGGTGGCCTTTTGCCACCCATTGGTTTATTTTCTTAATAAAAGAGACTGTCT